CCTAGCTCCACACCCTGTAATAAAACTGACCCACCAGTAGAAGTCTGCTCAGACAAAGGAAGCACGCCCTCTAACAATAACGTCTGTGCAGCACCAGTATCTCTCAAAATCTGGACAGGTTTTATTTCGCTAGAGTCACCGAGTGAAACAAATCCCTGAGACATAAAGGGCTTATAATCCTCCATAGAATCAATAGAACTGGACTGTGAACCCTGGACATCAGGAGTGTCAGAACAAATCGAATCTAAGGCTTCTCTATCACCCATAACTGCCGCACAAGCATGTGGTTGAGTTTTATCAAAATCATTTTTTCTCTTAAGTTTAAAGCATTCACTGATCAGATGACCCTTTTTCTTACAATAACTACAAGTAGGAAGCGACCCTATTCCAGACGATCCTTCAACACGTCCTGGACCGGACTTAAAACCACCTTGGGATGGAGACTGGGAACTTGTGAAAGACTGAGACCCTGAACCACTCTTTTTATATGTGTCTGAATTGGTAGAATTACTGCTAGTCTGAGATCTTGAAACAAAATTCTTTTTATGAGACAGAGCATAAGTATCAGATATGACTGCTGCCTCTTCAAGAGTTTTCACATTCTTATCTTCTAGATGTGTTTTCAAATCTTGAGGAACACATTCCTTAAACTCTTCTACCAGGATGACTTGGCGCAAATTAGCAAAAGTTTTATCAAGTTTCTTAGATCTAAACCAGTGATCGAATAAATCTTCTTTCTCTCGTGAAAATTCAACAAATGTTTGATTATCAAACTTTCTATACTTTCTGAACTTTTGTCTATACGCTTCAGGTACTAATTCATATGCTTTTAATATTGCTGCTTTGACCTTCTCATAGTCTGAACTCTCAACTACCCCTAGTGCAGAGTACACCTCAGCCGCTTTTCCAGCCAGTACACTTTGTAACATTGTTGACCAAACATTTCGTGGCCATTTAAGATTCTCTGCGACCTTTTCAAATTGGGGAAAATATTTGTCTACAGATTTTTCTTGAAATTTCGGAACTAACCTAATGTTTTTTGCTGCGTCAAATTCAGTTTTGACAACTGACGGTTCTGGTTGGTTTTGTAATTTTAATTTCTCTAATTCAAAGTTCATTGCACGCTCTTTCTCTTTCTGCTGTTAATTTGTCTAATTCAAATTTTCGTTCACGCTCTCGTTCTTCTCTTTCTCTTTCTCGCTCTTCTCTTTCTTTTTCTCGATCTTCTCTTTCTAATTTTTCTCTTTTCTAATATTTTCTCAAACTCTAATTGAAACTGATATTCTGCCATTTTGTAAGAGCCTAACTCTGATTTAACTGTATATTCTGGAAGATCGTATTTTTCAAAGATGTTTTCTTCTACTAGTTTGTTTGCAACCTTAATTCTAATGTCTTGCTTTCTCTGAGAGGATTTAACATCTAACCCAAAATGCAAACCTAATGCGATCAAGTCATCCTTAAGTTTTTAACGTATCAAAACCTGAACACTTGGTGCACTAAGAAAGTCTGTGACCGAAAACACCATGTTGATTTCTGCTGGCTTATAATTAAATTTAACAAAAAATTAATGAGCAAAATTATGACAATAAACTGCAAAAGTGCAAAAATTCTTTATCCCGGACCAGCTCCCAATTCTGTTATGGGTCAGAATTTCCCGAAATGCCAGCAAAGATCAATAACACAATTTAAACTTAACAATAATTTATTTACAGTAATATATAATAGTATATGAAACATAAAGTACAAACTTAGCAAGAATCTAAAAATACATACATCAGAGTGTCCGTTTCTGCACACAATGTCCCAGTGAAAATATATATCCCAGTTATATCTCAATAGTGCTTATACGACAAAGTATCTCTATGCATCGAATTGACAGGGTATTTATACAGTATCATAAATCTAGAATATTCTAGAAATTGTTAAAACATAACATTACTGGGAACAATCTGGACATACACAAAATTTAAGAATGTTCTGGAGATAAAATGACCGAACATGTTGACCACTCTGGAATGTTCAAGAAATTTAATGTTACTAATTATATACATAATGAAACAGTACACATCTCACAACAATAAATTTTGGTGAAATAATAAACTTGCATATGTCTATCGACCCGGAGCAGCATCGCTACGTCATTTACAGTCGGAGATTGATTTGCATGTGAAACGATCGGGAAGCGTTAAATACTCTTCCTTTTTTGTTATTACCTATAACATTAAAAAATCAAACAGTCTCTTTTCTTAAAGTATCATTTGAAAATATATGCTGTTTCTACCCAGGTGTAAAATTTTCATTTGGGAGAAGGATGCTTTAGAATCATGCACTGCCGATTTAGGCAACGCAGGTAAACGAATTTTAGAATTCCGTAACGATATTAATATCATGCCCAAGTAATGACTTATGGTTGTCCAGAGCTTTTACATTTTACATTTACTCTGGTTGAATTAGTTATAAAAAAAGAAATTTATACCAATGAAATAACTCTCCAAGCACATTATTTTTTTTCTTCATTTTTATTGTTTTAGAAGGTCCGCATAAGTGTGGAAGAAAGAGTTCTACATTGCGCTACACAAAATTTTAGGTATGGTGACTTAACATCAAATTCCATTTTGTCATTGTTAAGCAGATTTTTCTACCGCGCGTCATTTTTTATGATCTCCATCTATTTACTCAATCAAAATTCTACTAAAAGATGCACAAGAATGAATTTGAAATAAAGCTGAAAAATTATACACATAAACTGATTTATTCCCGCTCTTATTATTGTTCAACGACAAGCTAGAACGTTGGTGTTACATATTTTCAAATCCGATTTCATTAACTGCTCCGTGTACACCTACTATTGACGCATTTATATACCATTTCAGAGAAAATATCTAACACTTGTAAAATATATCTTGCTTTTAGTGATTCTTAGTGTATGTTAAACGTATATGCATATTTTCACCGAAAGACGTTCATTAGAAAGCAAAATATGCACAATGTCTCGATAATTTTCGAACAACCCTCGTAATCATGCCATGAACAGTTACCAAACACCTCTCGGCGTTTTCGTAGTTCAATGTAAAGCTGTCGCCAACGTCTCCATGTTATTAGTGTTTTATGATAAGTATGCCTTTAGTAAATGAAATCGTAGAATGTTTTAGATCAAACTGCAAATTAACTGGCTCGGACAAGTGTCTCAATCCATCGGATCCATCAATTCCTTTCCGATGACCGAAAAAATTCCTCCAACTTCTTATCATCAAACTTCGGACGTGTTTCTTGTGTCTTTCCAGCATCAATTTTCACGAATAAATATATTCCAGACAACAATCTGTTCACTATAAGTGATCACAGGTAGCCTTTCACAAAATATTTCCTTCAAATACATTTTTTTCTTAGACTAATGAATTCGAAACGTAACAGACATAAAAGCCAATTTACACCTTGCGTCATTTTTAAAAATCTACGACGGACGGTTAGTGCAATAATTTAAATTCGAAAATATTAAATTGTCCGTCTCAAATGTATAAATAAGTAATAAATAACAAGTTTATAACCTTCAATGGGAATTGAAGTGGGTCGGTACGTGATCAAATCTTCTGAGAAGGCCTTCGGCTTTGTTATTTATTTCTTAAATATGAGATTACGCGATTACGTTCGATAGATTGATTTATTGCAGACCGTTTAACGTCCCTCTCCAGAATATTTCACTGATATGGAGACGTCACCATTGCCGGTGAAGGGCTGCAAATTTAAATCTTTGCTCTGCACTTACCGCCTTTGAGCAGGGAGGGATCTTTATCATGCCACACCTGCTGTGACACGGGGCCTCGGTTTAGACGGTCTCATCCGAAGGACCGCCCCATTGCGTCGCCTTTTACGACAAGCAAAGGGGTACTGAGGACCGATTCTAACCCGGATCCCCCACGGGGCGCCATTACGTTCGAAGCGTTGCTTTTGTATATAAAAATGGCGGCTTAGAAACGGTTTACGTAGGTAGTTTAGTTAAATCTCTTGTTACCTGAACGATTCGAACACAGTCAGTTAGTGACCTAATTACAAAGCTTCGCCTCGCCCAATACGAATTTCCATTTCAAACCCTGTATGAATCCGTATTAGGTCACTAACTGACTGTGTAACTAATAATAACGTTCTTAAACAGACTTCAAAACGTTGAATATTTTCATAAGCAATGACGTCATATGTTTGAAATGACGTCACGAAATGACGTAAATTTAGAATTTCCATCATTTCGACAGAAAAAATGTATAAATAACGTCGATAATTAAAGTAAAAGTTACCGAGCGCAGATCTGATCAGACTCAATATTTTGATATAATGTGTAGAATGATAATAGCAATGAAATATGTAAATGTTGTTACTGAGCAAACTTTCGCTCTTTAATTTTTAAGCTAAAATTGTTGAAATTTTGTCTATTTTATCCTCTTTCTAAAAAATGATATAAAATCACACAAGTTTGTGACGTCATAAAAAAATTGTCAATAAACTACTTAGAAAGTATTATTCTGCTCTGTTAATTTCTATTTCTCGTTCAATTTATAAAATTCATCACATTTCAAGACTTTTTTAAAATTTGATTTGTATGGGGGCAAACATATGCAGTATACCGCATATAGTTCTTTTATGTTTTGAAAGTGCGTTGATTTGGTCCAAAATTTAACGCACTTTGAAATTTTTTCAAAGTTTGTAATTTTTCAAAGTGCGTTGTAACATTGCATGACAACAAGTGACATTCCCAAATGTATTAACAGCACAGAATACATACACGGTTCAGTGTTTCATGCATTTAAGAATATTATTATATAGAAATATTTACCGCTACAAAATCATCATCAATCTCGACTGCATCTTGGGGTAAAAATTTTCATTGTTACCCTCAACTATATCAAGCATTTATATGATACAGTACCTTTGATGGTATCTGACACATCAAAAACGTCATTCTGAATATCGACTCCTCTGGTAGATTTTGTATTTCTCCGAATTTCCTATATGTCTATGCCTTTTAATCTTCCAAGTAACGTTGTTTTTCCACTGCCTGCACATCCTATCAACATCCCAGTGGCGTGGTACATGGCGGTCTTTCCTTTCTTTAGATTGTCCAGGAAATTTTTCACGGAGTCATCTCCTCTCATTATCACTTGTACTGGTATGCCCACTGTAAAAAAAAAATAAAAATATATAACTAACAAGAATGATACTCTGTTTATAAGTCCTTTAAATTTACAAAATGTGTAAATTTTATATTTATATTTTTTAATTATTCTACTTAAATGAATCATAAGAGTATGATGAATTTGTGTAAAATTTAAAAAACCTTGCTCTATAATGGAACACTTCTCTAGCTTTACCCCTAACAAATATTAAAGGGTAAAGACCATTATTTATTAAGATACAAAACTAAAGAAGGGACATGGACGGCAACAATCACTTTTTGATCTGTTTACTACTTGTTCTTCAGAAGAACTAATTCCATATTCCTGAAAAAATTTTTAAGGTTTCCTATGTATGTATTGCATCCTTTCTTTTTTCGTTTTTTTTCTGTTAAACAAGAATTTAAATTAACATATGCACACTAAGTGGATATATTTAGTTTTAAATTCTGAACAAAAACCAATAAACTGCATCCCCATTTCGCGGGATCTCACATCTTGTTTTATTTTTTTAAATATCTCGACGTATATTTTTCTGGTCTCCACTTATCCAAGGGGGCAGGAAATGGGGGATCCAATCTGAATTTTGTTCAATTTGAAGCTGCTTGTTTATTTTCACATAAAATGAAGTCAGAATGAAGTTTTTGTTATATCATCAATATTGTACTCTGCTAAGTTTTTATAATAATTTTAATCTCTTTCTGCGTATTTCTATGTCACACAATGCGATCCTTTATTGTGGTCAAACCTATCGCCCAAGATTTATGATTTGTACAAGTTTATATTCATGCATAGCTAGCTTTCAAGTGGGTTTTGATTTAATTTTATCCTACCACTTCTTGAAGAGAAGAATTTTAAATGATACTATCACTTATTCATTTTTTTCAATATTCCGAATCAGAAAAGAGGGCTTGGTCCTCCTTAAACTTCCCTTTGAAATAATGATTTATCCCCTAGTGGTTCTAGAGAAAAGACAATATCTACAGAACACTTATAGAAAAGGGCAAATTTTGGAATAGAAATGGTCAAATTTGATGAGGAAGAACTGACATAATTCATGAATTTAACCGGAGTCAATGGTCAGATACAATGTTTGTAGAACGCATCAAATTGTGAATTCATAGATTTACCAGATCCTCAAGTTTAGCTTAAATACAGTTTTACCTTACATCTTAACAGAAAAAGAGACAGACTGTTATTCTTATTTAACTTTACACCTTTAATTCTTCGTGTAAAGGAGATTAAGAAAACTAAAACATTGAAATATGCAAAACAATACCACAAAGAAACGTACGCTTTCTATACACTGATTTATGTATTGATCGGTCCCTCATTGTGACATGTGTGAATATCTCTTCCCCAAGTCTATCTATCAGTTGTTCTGTCTGATTTGGCAATAACCAACAACAAACTTCTTTTTCATCCTCTCTTCTCAGGTAATTTGACGATCTGCAATACTTTGCGATGTTTTCTTTTTCTGCCCAAATTAGAAACATATCAACAAATTTACGTTCTTTTGCAAATCTTAGAAAACTTGTGTCTCTGAAGAATTTACAAGAAAACTCGACATTGGAACTATCCTGTTTCAGCACTGGTTTGTACTTTTCTATTTTGGTGAGATCAGATTTCTTCTTAATCTTCTTAAATTTGAAAACTTCAGCCACAGCATTAGATTTGTCCATCCATTGTTCTTCAGAGATTTATTTTGTAGTTCTGGCAAAGAAGAAGGCACTTCAAAACTACATCTCCATCTACAAACATATATTCAGATTATAGTTGTTTTACCCTCAAAAACTCAAAACACATGACTTGTAAGGTTGATAAAGACTTAGGGCATTACTGTTTATATCAATGCACTGGCTAGGTAAAAGGTGAAAAACACCTAAAGTTAATTTAAAGGTCCAACTGTCGTAAGTCTGGGACTTAAAGAAAGGCATATTAAAAACGCTTAAATTCAGAGGCAAAATTCTTAAACTTCTTTGGGAAATTGGATAAAATAATCATACAGTTGGTTGAGGATTTCAAATACTGTCAAACCTCTACTACAAACTCAAGATTGTCAAAGATTTTCTTCAACTGTACATCGTTACCAACCTGTCCTCTTGTAAATTTCACGAAACAATTTCTCAACATCTCTAACATCATGAATTTTATGATCACTAGAGGACGTGATACAGATCTCACACAAGGCGGCCTCACACGGGATACAGAACTGGAAACAATGTACCTCTTGGGATGCTTCTCACACTTCAAGTTCTCCACCGGGAGAGCTGAAAATTTATATAAAAAACATTAAATGTACACAGAGATAAATATCCAGAGGGAGAACCGCAAAAATGATACACTAAATTCTAAAAATATTAACAAGAGGTCCATGCTCACCTGAATAACTATGGTTATATATATACATGTATAAAAATAAATACATCTTCACTTAAGGTAGGATTCTTCTCATATTTTTAATACTTAAAAATTAATGAAATTTTCACAGAAGCAAGGAGACAATATCAGTAAGTAATAGTATCAGTGAAACTAGATTTGACCATTTTATATTAGAGACAAGGTCAGGTCAAGATCATTATCTTTTCCCTTGACATTTTGAATAAAGAATAACTGTTGCCAATCATGTGATACCTACTTCTATTTCAAAAGTTTAATGTTTGTTCTTTTTGCATAAAAACATATTACTATATCAGATCTATAGCATGATATTACCAAATTTACACAAATTATTTAACTAAACTTGATATTGGCTAATCCGAATTTTCTCTGTTTTTCTTAATTTTTTAGGATATATTATTTATTTTCATATGCTTCCTATATTTAACTTTTTCTTATTTTCACATATAATAAAGTAGTCTTATAAATGTACAAAATGATACAAAAACAAAAAGTTTTGATCGTTTACTAAGAGAGAAAAAATACATTTTATGGATTTTTGGCTCAAATCTGCACTTTGATAGGAAGCGTTTAAAAGCTAACAAAGTTCTAGTTTGTTTGAAAAATCATATATGTTTGATATATTTTGAAAGTATAGTCCCTCATTATTAATTTAACTTACATTTGAAAATTTCTCCAAGCCTTCGATTGTGTAACTAATTCATAACTAAATTCATTGTTCTATTATGATTTTGAGAGGCAGAAAAGAAGATATTTTCATACACCACCATTCCGCCAAAAATATAGTCCCTGCTAGTTTTCAAACGCAGATTACTAAAGTTGTACAATTGTGATGAGGAAAGAAAAATATGGTCTTTTAAATCTCTTACACCTAAATATATAAGACATATAAGCAAATATACTTTGAATATTTCATCTAGTCAGAAACCAGAGAAGAATCCTACCTTAAGAATATTTAGAAACTCGCCCTAGCAGCAGAACCCAGGAGCCATAAAATTCAAATTTTGGAAGACGCACCCTTGCTTATAACAACTATGTATTTAGTTTGTTTGGTTAATTCTAAGGAGCAGAGGAGAATATTTTTAAAGAATAAATGCATTTCCATCATAATCAATAGAGTTCTGCCCTAAAAGCAGAGCCCTTGACCCATGGACCATAACAAATCATAATCTCGGAAGAGGCGAGCAATTTTGCTCATTATATTTATGTACAGTGAACCCTCATTTATCCGGACGCTTTGGTTCCCAGTCAATTTGTCCGGATATGTGAAGCATCCGGATATCTGAATCACCAGTTAAACAAGACAGAATAACATTTTAAAATTTCGTTCCGATGAAAAATCGTCCGGATACTGAAGCATCCGGATATCTGGCGTCCAGATATCTGAAGGTCCACTGTATGTAGTTTCTTTTGCTTAATATTCAGGAGCAAAGGAGAAGATTTGTACATTTGCTTCCTAAATTCGTTGTGTGTAAAGCAAATGGTTCTAAAAAAAACTTGACATATCTTGCTGTGTGTAGTGTTTGTGTTTTTGGCTCTTGACCTTTGACATTGTGATGCCATAAAGGTGAAATTAGGTGTACCAAGATTGATGTATGTAAAGCAAAGGGTTTTCAAAATATTCATTGATGAATCTCTTCCTCCATACAAGCTGTCAAAGTATCATACATGAAGCTCAATCAGCAGATCACTCATTCCATTATGACGAGGTCGTCTCTTTTATGACCTTTAACGTCGCCTGCGTGGCTCAATGGTTAGAGCGTCTGCTCTAGATTCACGAAATAGGGTGTAGATCCTTACGTCCTTGGTTCAAATCCCTTGTGGGACGTGAAGAGCTGTCCTTCAGATGAGACCGTATAAACTGAGGTCCCGTGTCTCAGTGAGTTTGGCACGTAATGATCACTCACTGCTCAATGGCCCTTAGACGATTTTTTTATCTGATGTTTTCGGGAGAGGGCTACAATTCAACAGCATCTCCGTAATGCAAAAATGTTTTACAGATACGGGCGACTGCAGGCAGAATAAATTGTTTTTACATTCAACTTATTTCTAATAAGACGAAATTTTTATTCACTGTTGACACCATATCCTGTTAAACGCGAAAACCATGTAAAATAATTCAGAGTGTCTTACTCAGAAGCCATTACAGTTCATGCGTGACGTACCGAGACTTGCACTTGAATTTTAGAATATCTCAATAAAGCAAATGTTGATGTTCATACATTATTGTAATGAATAGCAACACTAAAAATCGATAATAAAATCATTTCATGTGTCATTATTTCATAACAGCGATACTTAGGCTTAAGATAACGTAATTTAAAAAAATCTGCTCCCTATAAATCCTTCACGGTCAGAGTCTCCATAAATAAGTCTATAGAAGTCATAAACACAATGCAACAATATAAGTTACCAGTCATAGAGTCTCCATAGATAAGTCTATAGAAGTCATAAACACAATACATCAGTATAACTTACCGGTCAGAGAGTCTCCATAAATAAGTCTATAGAAGTCATAAACACAGTGCAACAGTATAACTTACCGGTCATAGAGTCTCCATAGATAAGTCTATAGAAGTCATAAACACAATACAACAGTATAACTTACCGGTCACAGAGTCTCCATAAATAAGTCTATAGAAGTAATAAACACAATACAACAGTATAACTTACCGGTCATAGAGTCTTCATAAATAAGTCTATAGAAGTCATAAACACAATACAACAGCATAACTTACCGGTCAGAGAGTCTACATAAATAAGTCTATAGAAGTCATAAACATAATACAACAGTATAAATTACCAGTCAGAGAATATCCATAAATAAGTCTATAGAAGTCATAAACACAATGCATAGAGAATAATACATACCCTTTTCTATATCACATCCTGTATCAGTCCGAGACACCAATATCAGCCAGAGGGCCAAAGGCCCGAGGGCTGATATTGGTCGAGGGCTGATACAGGATGTGATATGGAAAAGGGTATGTATTAATATGTTTATATATTACATACTTAGTAATAAAATACAGCATACATTAAGTTGAGAAGAAAATAAGTAAATAATCATGCATGGACTTCTTACATACATGTACATACATGGTCTATTGTCTTGTACAATTTGGGTTTGTTTCTACTTCTATTTCAATGCACTCAATCCTAATTTGAAAATAATCTATTACATGTATTTGTATATTAAGATAAACCTTAATTTCAAAAAGTTAAAATTAAGAGAATATGAACCCACCAAAAGTTGTGTATGATCACAAGTACTGTTTTTATGGTTTAATTTACTAAGGGTGTGATATTGACGTCACAATAGCCGTATCAGCCCTGCAGGGCTGATATGGATTTGCAGGGCTGATGAGAAGGATATGGAAATAACGAACAGTATTCAATCTCAACGTCCATTAAACAAATATACAAAATAAGAGCAGAGCAAACACGGACCTCCGAAACATCAGAGGTGGGATCAGGTGCCATGGAGGAGTGAGCATCCCCTGCCGACCGGTCACACCCGCCGTGTGCTCGTTGTCATAATCAGGAAATAACGGAAAAAATCCGTGGTCAATTCAGTGTATAAATAATGGACTAACAATTGGTATGAAAAACGTCAGTCAGCATTTCATTCAATGATAAATTGTATTTGCTGACAAGGTCATTGTATCGACCATAGAATTTACGAAATGATGACTTTAAACGAGACTGTTGATATTCTTGTTTCATCAACTTGCTTGTCAATAATTTACCTCGTTTAAGAAATTGTTCATACGTAGAGCATGCTCTTGCGTATCGAATCAACTGAGATATAAATACTCCGTATGCAGGTGATGAAGGTATATTGCTGCATAAGTAAGGGAAGTTGACGATAGAAAAGTTAAAGTCATCACGTTTATCATATAGCTTGGTTGTTAGATTACCATTAGTGTCTTTTTCAAGTAAAATATCCAAGTATGAAGCAGAAGTGTCGGACTCTGTGGTATCTTTTATCTCAAGCTCACCAGGATATATCGTGTCGACGTAGGAATGAAAATTATCATTATTAATTGACAATACGTCGTCGATATATCTAAATGTCGAGTTGAAGGCCACAGCAAGTGTTTTCTTCTTTTCACGTAAAAGATTTTGCATAAATTCTTCTTCACATGAATATAAAATAGGTCTGCTAATACCGGAGCGCAATTGTTACTCATGGGAATTCCAATAGATTGTTGGAATACCTGGTCTCCAAAAACCACGTGGATATTGTCAATCAGAAACTCAAGCATCTTTTTGATGTCAACTTCAGAGTACTTATGTGTGCAATCAGAATCTGTTTTAACAAAATAATTTTTCAAATGACCAATGACGAGGTAAGTAAACTTACGAGTTCCATTTTTGTTGAAGAAGCAGCTGTCAATGATATCAAAAAGCCTGGATTTTAATTTGTCGTGGGGAATTGTTGTGTATAAAGTTGAAAAGTCGTAAGTTTTTATGCTGTTGATTTTTGTAAAGTCTTGTGATTTCAAATTGTCCAAAAGTTCTTTAGAATTTTTAAGTATCCACATCTGAGGTTATCAGCCCTGCAAATACATATCAGCCCTGCAGGGCTGATACGGCTATCGTGACGTCAGCCATATCGCATATGCAAAAAACCTGTATTTATTACTAAGTGTGTAATAAAACAGTATAACTTACCAGTCAGAGAGTCTACATAAATAAGGCAATAGAAGTCATAAACACAACACAACAGTATAACTTACCAGTGAAAGAGTCTCCATAAATAAGTCTATAGAAGTCATAAACACAATACAACAGTATAACTTACCAGTCAGAGAGTCTCCATAAATAAGTCTATAGAAGTCATTAACACAATACAACAGTATAACTTACCAGTCAGAGAGTCTCCATAAATAAGTCTATAGAAGTCATAAACACAATACAGCAGTATAACTTACCGGTCAGAGAGTCTTCATAAATAAGTCTATAGAAGTCATAAACACAACACAACAGTATAACTTACCAGACAGAGTGTCTACATAAATAAGTCTATAGAAGTCATAAACACAATACAACAGTATAACTTACCAGTCAGAGAGTCTCCATAAATAAGTCTATAGAAGACATAAACACAATACAACAGTATAACTTACCAGTCAGAGAGTCTCCATAAATAAGTCTATAGAAGTCATAAACACAATACAACAGTATAACTTACCAGTCAGAGAGTCTCCATAAATAAGTCTATAGAAGTCATAACCACAATACAACAGTATAACTTACCGGTCATAGAGTCTCCATAAATAAGTCTATAGAAGTCATAAACACAATACAACAGTATAACTTACCAGTCAGAGAGTCTACATAAATAAGTCTATAGAATTCATAAACACAATACAACAGTATAACTTACCAGTCAGAGAGTCTACATAAATAAGTCTATAGAAATCATAAACACAATACAACAGTATAACTTACCAGCCAGAGAGTCTCCATAATAAGTCTATAGAAGTCATAAACACAATACAACAGTATAACTTATCAGTCAGAGAGTCTCTATAAATAAGTCTATAGAAGTCATAAACACAATACAACAGTATAACTTACCGGTCAGAGAGTCACCATAAATACATCTATAGAAGTCATAAACAAAATACAACAGTATAACTTACCGGTCAGAGAGTCCCTTTAAATAAGTCTATAGAAGTCATAAACACAATACAACAGTATAACTTACCGGTCACAGAGTCTCCATAAATAAGTCTATAGAAGTCATAAACACAATACAACAGTATAACTTACCGGTCAGAGAGTCTCCATAAATACGTCTATAGAAGTCATAAACACAATACAACAGTAAACTTACCGGTCAGAGAGTCTCGATAAATAAGCCTATACAAGTCATAAACACAATACAACAGTATAACTTACCAGTCAGAGAGTCTCCATAAATAAGTCTATAGAAGTCATAAACACAATACAGCAGTATAACTTACCGGTCAGAGAGTCTTCATAAATAAGTCTATAGAAGTCATAAACACAACACAACAGTATAACTTACCAGTCAGAGAGTCTACATAAATAAGTCTATAGAAGTCATAAACACAACACAACAGTATAACTTACCAGTCAGAGAGTCTCCGTAAATATGTCTATAGAAGTCATAAACACAACACAACAGTATAACTTACCGGTCAGAGAGTCTCCATAAATATGTCTATAGAAGTCATAAACACAATACAACAGTATAACTTACCAGCCAGAGAGTCTCCATAATAAGTCTATAGAAGTCATAAACACAATACAACAGTATAACTTACCAGTCAGAGAGTCTCTATAAATAAGTCTATAGAAGTCATAAACACAATACAACAGTATAAATTACCGGTCAGAGAGTCACCATAAATACATCTATAGAAGTCATAAACACAATACAACAGTATAACTTACCGGTCAGAGAGTCCCTTTAAATAAGTCTATAGAAGTCATAAACACAATACAACAGTATAACTTACCGGTCACAGAGTCTCCATAAATAAGTCTATAGAAGTCATAAACACAATACAACAGTATAACTTACCGGTCAGAGAGTCTCCATAAATACGTCTATAGAAGTCATAAACACAATACAACAGTAAACTTACCGGTCAGAGAGTCTCCATAAATAAGCCTATACAAGTCATAAACACAATACAACAGTATAACTTACCAGTCAGAGAGTCTCTATAGATAAGTCTATAGAAGTCATAAACACAATACAGCAGTATAACTTACCGGTCAGAGAGTCTTCATAAATAAGTCTATAGAAGTCATAAACACAACACAACAGTATAACTTACCAGTCAGAGAGTCTACATAAATAAGTCTATAGAAGTCATAAACACAACACAACAGTATAACTTACCAGTCAGAGAGTCTCCGTAAATATGTCTATAGAAGTCATAAACACAACACAACAGTATAACTTACCGGTCAGAGAGTCTCCATAAATATGTCTATAGAAGTCATAAACACAATACAACAGTATAACTTACCAGCCAGAGAGTCTCCATAATAAGTCTATAGAAGTCATAAACACAATACAACAGTATAACTTACCAGTCAGAGAGTCTCTATAAATAAGTCTATAGAAGTCATAAACACAATACAACAGTATAAATTACCGGTCAGAGAGTCACCATAAATACATCTATAGAAGTCATAAACACAATACAACAGTATAACTTACCGGTCAGAGAGTCCCTTTAAATAAGTCTATAGAAGTCATAAACACAATACAACAGTATAACTTACCGGTCACAGAGTCTCCATAAATAAGTCTATAGAAGTCATAAACACAATACAACAGTATAACTTACCGGTCAGAGAGTCTCCATAAATACGTCTATAGAAGTCATAAACACAATACAACAGTAAACTTACCGGTCAGAGAGTCTCCATAAATAAGCCTATACAAGTCATAAACACAATACAACAGTATAACTTACCAGTCAGAGAGTCTCTATAGATAAGTCTATAGAAGTCATAAACACAATACAACAGTATAACTTACCAGTCATAGAGTCTCCATAAATAAGTCTATAAAAGACATAAACCCAATACAACAGTAACTTACCGGTCAGAGAGTCTTCATAGATAAGTTTATAGAAGTCATAAACACAATACAACAGTATAACTTACCGGTCAGAGAGTCTTCATAGATAAGTCTATAGATGTTTACTGTGTTGTCGTACCGTGATCCTACCCAGAAAAACTGAGTTCTGTCATCATAATTCAGACCGCATGGTCCGTCTTTCCCGTGTTGTGCATATGGTGTCTTTGTATTTGACAGGAAGTGACCGTCCCTGTCCAGAATCTTTACTACTTGAGTTACATAATCACACACCAGGATGTGTGACAGCGCGTCAGTACAGATTCCATATGGCCATAGTCGTAATCCTGATGTAAGCTCTGTGTAGGAGAATCGATGTCTACCTCTACTGTCTGTCACCACTACACCATGGACAGGGTCAGTCACAATAACATCTCCATTGCGGTTCTCTGTGATGAAGAAAGGATATCTATACAGTCCTTGACCTGTGTTGTCGTGCTGTATGGTCTGTAGGTGTCGTCCTGTCTTAGTGTAACGGTTTACCTGGCCTATCCTTGTATATTTATTATATATCCCGACCAGCAGGTATCCAGTGGAAGGGGAGCTGTAGACACAATGTGGTTCCCATTGCTCTGTGTTGTACGATTTTAATACAGTCTTCACTGTGTTATCTTTAGACAGTTTAATGATGTTACCCTTCCTGTCTATATAAATTAAATCGCCGTCACTTGTCACTGTGTGTACTCCTTCACCACTAGATATACCTGTCAAACGAGTTAGTTCTTCACCTGCAGTATTTGTCAATATGAGATTGTCTTTATCACAGATCCAGACCCGGTCTGAAGATACACGGGAAATGTGAACACACTGACTAACACCTTTCACTCTGATAGATTTCTGTAACACTAATCTAGGCATCATGTACAGCAGTCATTTATTTCGTCTTTATTCTGTGGTTTCTATCCATAACGGAATCCCGTGTTCATTTCCTCAGTCAGGGAGATTTCTCTGTAAACAACAACATTCTGCTATTATTATCTACATCAACGACAGGCCTTCTTTATAGCGAGCACAGCGAGCGCAATAGACTAACGTGTAAGAACAGAGGAAATTCGGATTGAAATCTGTACATACGTCAGCCAAATTTCTCTGTGAAACATTCCCAGAATTCCTGCACTACCCAATGTCCTTTGCACAAATAAATAAATAAATAAATGATATTGTTAAGCATAAAAGGCTATCAAATTGTAGAAATCTTTCAAAGAAACAAAAAATAACTCTACAATGTTTTTCAACCAAAATTGCACTAGGTCTATAGTTTCAAACAGACGCTCGGCTGTCTCCGTAAGCTTCTACGAGCTCCGTGACGTCGTGTAACGTTGATGTTTGAAGTGGCTGATCAATTTTTAGAGTGTTTTTGATGGTAAAACTGCGCTCGCCCCAACGGTCACACCGTAAAACATATTGATTTAATATTTCAGATGAATAACTATAATGTAATCATGAAAATATGAATTAAAATCCCAGAGAGAGAGTGGGTCATTGTACACTTTAAAGCGAGTGCAACGCGCGACGCTCGTCACTGCGATCTCTTAAAGCAACGCATGTGTGAAAAGAAAATTCGGACTACTGAACATTCATTCGATAGAATCTTTTGACGCAGTAATTTGGACCCACAATGCATCACTTGTTAAAGCTACGTTCTCGCGAGAATAGCAGCAAAAGTGCAACTAAAAGTAGACAATTGCCCTGATTAAATGGATAAATATTGAAGATAAATAGTAAATGAAACATTCTTCATTTACTTTCAGCGCTGTTCAGGCTTCTATTTGGAAATGTAACTTACATACGACGTCGTGTGACGTCAGAGTCTAGACGTACCAAATGTCACGTGCAGTTTGACGAGCCCGATCTAAATTATAACAATATAAATATCTGCCCTCGCCATAACGGTCGCACCGTCAACATATTATATGGTTTTTAATTTATTACTATACCTCATATAAATAATCACAAGTAAACAGGAATAATATATGCTGTTTAAGGAGTAATTGTGGGATTATTACGAGACGCAGAGTCAATCCGATTGCATGGACTAACACAGAAATATATGTAGAGACAGTGTGAATCGAAGTTTAAGGTTGAAACAAGTGGAGCTTTTTAAGAAAGCTTACCGTCTTTAGCAACAACCTTAAACATTAAACTGATCAACACCTATCAGGCCGTATAATTCTTTTGAATTTCTTGATTTGGTATTTCTACATTAGCTTGTTACTGGCATTAGCCCTACCACGGTTGTCGCTCGGTCATCTCCCTTAACTTTGACTTGCCGAGATCTTTCGGCAAACCTCGACTGATTCCGATACCTCTTTCAAACGAGAAAAATGGGAAATTTAAAAAATAATAAAAAATTGTAAAGCCTGCAAGCAATTACTTTCAAATTTTATTTACAATAAATTAAAGAGACCATTTTAGTTATTGCTACAAATAATATGTTATTTAGAATTAAGGACAGATGATACAAACATATTTTTTCTTTGAAAAGATTTAATATCATGTCACAAGTTTAGAAAAGTGGATAATTCTTTAAAAATTTTCTCCTAAGAACTGGAAAATGAAATAGACTTGGAAAATATAAGTAATATTTCAATAAAAAAAATAAATATAGACAAATCACATTCAGTAAAGGTTTACAGGTGAAAACAAATTTCAGAAAATGTTACATTGGTGCTAAAAGTGTAATATAAACTTTAGAAAAATATACCATGCCAGGTGAATTTAAAGAGGAAGAACAAAATGACAAAAAATTAGCAATATCACATAGGCTGATTTTTACTATTTTGCTTTTCCTGATAAAATTCAATCTTGTAAAATTTTTACGTTGTACGAATATTAGATCATTAGAAAATTATCTCCCTTGCCTTGAACAGCATTTCAACCAATGAAATAATTTAAAGTTTTCTCATCATGCAATTTCTACCAATCACAAAAGAGATGACGTGCTTAGTCCGAAGACTGTAAAAAACTTCAACTTTAAAATACCGTCTTCATTTTTTAAGCCCAGAAGGACCAGTGGGGAGTACAACGTAAACAAACAAACCTTTATTTCTTATAATTTAATTTTTTGTGGAGCGATTATTTAGCGTTTTAAAGATTTTTTTTTCTATTGTACTCACTGCTTATAATATATAAGTGTTATAAATATAATCTGGGAACAAAATGTCCAACAATCCCCGGGGTCGAATATTTGGGGAGGGGGGAGGGGTTCCTGTCCACAAGTACCTCAATCTCTACCCAGAGTTATCGTTCCAATTGTTGTAGCGAAGCGAACGACAGCTCTGGGTAGAGATTGCAAGTACCTGTTGATAAGACATCGTCAGAATCTTGCACTGTAAAATTTTAGGTAAACATTGCCATATTTAAACTTTCAGGATAAGATCGGAAAAACGGTTGAATGATTTACTTTGTTATTGGAAATTTCGGGTTTGGTTATCGAAAACAAAGGTTGTGATTAGGGAAAATTTTAAGAAACGACAGGAATCTCTTCATGAAATCTAATACTTAAAGTGGCTGGCCATCCTCTACTGTTTGGCTAGGATTTGTCTCTTTTAGAACATGGGACTTTTAAAAAATGAGTGTTTTCGTTGTTTTGCATTTCTCATTGAAATGTGCATGATCTTGATGAGTTCGAAAATATGGTACATGTATAAATTTTTAATCACTATAAGGTGCCAATGTCGCCAGCGTGGCGCAGTGATTAGAGTCGCGAAGTAGGAAGTCAAACCTTATCTTGCACGTTAGAATCCCTATGGGACATGAAAAACGGTCCTTCGGATAAGACCGTATAAACTGAGGTCCCGTGTTGCAGTAGGTGCTGGTACGAAAAAGATCCCTATCTGCTCAAAGGCCGTAAGTGCCGAGTATAGGACAAAATTTATAGCTCTCCAACAGCAAGTGGTAGCGTCTCCATATGAGTGAAAAATTTTCGAGAGGGACGTTAAACAGCATTCAATCAGCATTCAATCAATCAATCAAGGTGCCAAGCTCATGACAAAGGAAGAGTTGCAACCATTTTTGATCGACTGAGGTCAGTTGCGGCCGAGATTGGAACTCACGACCTCACGAACACGACTACATTTATAAGTTTGATATAAAACAGTTAAAGAATCTAATCTCAAGGCTGGTTAAATGAACTTCCCAAAAGGGCGTTAGACCAAAATATATGATGTAGAACTTTAACTTTTGAGAAAAAAAGGGATTTTAAACTTTAAAAATTCACAAAAAGCGTTAACATGAATGTCTTAAAACATCGGGGTTATCAAGAAGGGATAAGAACCCCCTGATGAACGGTTACACCCACAGTGTGCTCTTTGTCATTATTGGCCGAAAATGTGTAGATGGAGGGGGGGGGCGAACCTCACCTGGATTTTACAGTGCTATTGAATGTTTATACTGAAGCTTAAAATCCCTAGCACTCCACATTGTAGTTGAAAACTTTTTGTAATAAAAATTAAACATATGAGAGTTGAAGTGATCAATCAGCACACCTCCTCTTAAATAAGTATTTTTAACGGTAACAAGAGGCCCAGGGGCCCAATCACTCCCCTGGGCAAATCGGCTAGGAAAAAGCACAAATCAGATCAGAACTAAAACGTTTACTGAAAGGGGGAGGGGGGATTGGATTTTAATACTACTTGAGAATGCCTTCATATTAACACAGCATATGACTTTGTTCTGTTCTTGATACAAAGATTTTTTAAAAAGCATTTTCTTCCTATATATAACTTTATAATAATTTGAATTTGATTCCCCATTTATTCCCTCCTTACCTCAAAGGGTCATGATTTGAATAAATCTAAATCTTTGATACATGAGGATGCTTACATTTCAATATGACTAAGCATGGCTTTTTTGTTCTTGGGATTTCCCTCCCCCTTTTTTATGTAAAACTTTGATCAACCATTGTGGCCCGTCCTACCCTTGGGGGTTATGATTTGAACAAATTAATTCTACACTACCCAAAAATGTTTGCATATAAATACTAGTATCACTAATCATGGCATTGCTATTCTTGAGAAGAAAATTTTTGCAAATATATTGTAATGTAAAACTTGCATCCCCCATTCATGTCCCACCTATGCCTGGGGGTTATGATTTGAACAAAATAGAATCTACTCTGCCTGAGGATGTTTTCACATAAATATCACTGATCATGACTTTAAAGTGCTTGAGAAGACAATTAAAAAAGATTTCCCTATATACTCCTATGTAAAACTTTGATTGGCCATAGTGGCCCAACCCTACCCCCCGAGTTCATGATTTGAACAAACTTGAATCTACACTACCTGCAGATGATTAAAAATGAGTTTCATCTTTCCTGCCCCAGTGGTTCTTGAGAAGAAGATTTTTAAAGATTTTTCCTATATTCCTATGTAAAAATTTGACCGGCTATTGTGGCCCCACCCTACCCCCGGGGGTAATGATTTGAACAAAATTGAATCTACACTACCTGAGGATGATTTAACATGAGTTTCATCTTTCCTGGCCCAGTGGTTCTTGAGAAGAAGATTTTTAATGATTTTCTCTATATACTTCTATGTAAAACTTTGTTGGCCATTGTGGCCCCACGCTACCCCCGGGGGTCATGATTTGAACAAACTTGAATCTACACTACCTGAGCATGCTTCCATATGAGTTTTATCTTTCCTGGCCCAGTGGTTCTTTAGAAGAACTTTTTTTTTATAAAAAGCCATTAATTTTTCACTAATTCATAATTATATCCCCTTGGAAAAAGGCATGACTGTCACAATCAATATTTAATTATAATTGTATTTACATAACGGTTATGGTTTTTATTTTGTTTACCCTTTACTGGACCTCTATATTTTTGTTACCTTATTGAACCTCAAGTTAAGTTT